TGCCACATAAAAGCAAAACGTTGAAAATTATTGAAATCGGACTAAAATTACGGCCGCTTTTCATATATCGGTAAATTTCATAAATGCTTGAAACTGCAATATTTCGAAATTTACGGACGCTAATTTACTCAAAATTGATACACCCCGGCTTACCATCTAGCAGTAGGTTTCGGAAAGGTGAAAAAAACATATACATACTTAATACCTGCGCCGGGTATTTAATGTTCGGCTCCGCCCGAACTTAGACTTTCTTACTTGTTCAGATATAAATTTTTGCGATATAACTCCTTTATATAGACAGCTAAAACCACTACGTTGTGATACCGGTTTGCATACTCCATGATTCTTTATAGCTCCTCTATATATGTATGCAGTGAACATAAAAATTTTATTTAGCACTCATTTAATTATTTTCAAATGCAGTAATCGGTTAAAGTGAAATTTTCTGATGTTCATGAAAAGTTTGAAGCAAAATAGATTACCAATTTACAATAAAAAATAACTAAAATAAAATGATCGCTTATACCATTCTTATCGATTAAAACTGATTGTTAAGAAAATTGCCATTTTCTTTCTGTTTCATAACTCTTAATCGATTTTAAATACGCTGAACTGTGCCTCCTCTATAAAGGAGCATTTTATTTGCATAAAAACAACACACTAATCACTCGTAATTGCGTATTTATCTATAAGTTGTTTCATTACTTGACCGTTAGTATGAGTATCATACATACGTACACTTGGTACATACACTTATGTAGATACTCATGTACATAGTAGTATGCACACATGTATGTGCATACTAGGAATGTTGATCCCTTGATCCCGGCCTTTTTAAGGTTTCGAAAATCCCGGGATTATTGGCAAGTAATACCGCCGTTTTCGGGATTTGTAATTTGCACTGATGGCAATAATAGAAACTCCTTTTCTCGACCAGTATTGGCTATATTTCTTTTTTAATTTAATAATTAATATTTTTTTATAAATGCCTAGCTCGTTATACATACATATAACACCGCGCGATAGTAACTTTTAAACACTAATATCAATATATTCGCGAAACCATGAGCCAAATATAGTAAAAAAGCGTTTTTAGTTTTTCACTCCCACGTCAGTAATTTAAAAATGATTTCGAAAATACAAAGAAATGTGCTTAGAGAAGAAGTATGGGTATAAAATTAATGACGAAATCCTGTAGAATTTAAACAGATTCAAGTTTCTGGTACAGAATGGCTGGTAAATATTGTAAATGTCATTTTAAAATTTTACNGGTATAAAATTAATGACGAAATCCTGTAGAATTTAAACAGATTCAAGTTTGTGGTACAGAATGGCTGGTAAATATTGTAAATGTCATTTTAAAATTTTACCCTCGAAATCTCGCAATATTTGTTTTTGAAAAAATTATATGTTAAGGGCTTATATAAACTCGATAATATCCTCGAGTTTCGTTCTTCTAACCTTCTCAACTTAAAAATTACCTATTCGTCCTTGTGAAACAGAAAAATTAAAATTTTTTAAATTCTAAAGAAATTTCCTATTGCATTTTTTACCCATATCTCTATTTTACATTGCATTGAATTTTTTTTTTTTAATTTTTGGAAATAATCATATCCTTGAAATTACAAAGTCCTACAAAATAAATCCTGTGATCAGAGAGAAAAAATAAAAATGCCACTTTAAATAAAAAAGTAGGTTTCAAACCCATTTATTTATTATTTATTTCATGGTAGGAGAGCTTCTCAAACAATATAGAAGCAATTTTTCGATTCAAGTTGTTGAAAAGTAATGAATATCTAGATCCCAGGACTAATCCCGGGATCCCGGGATCGTGACAACGCCATCCCGAAAATCTTGGGATCGGAAAAACCCGAAAAAATTAACATCCCTAGTGCATACATAACAGTGATGTACATAATAACTCCATTTTTAATCGATGCGCAAGCTGTTGTACTTAAACTAAAAGTATGCAATTTTACGGCCCTGTAATTAACCACTTGAAACAACATATTTTCACTATTACAAAAGGATTAAAAAATACACATTTCGGCCCGCACTAATGTATGTATATGTAAGCATGCAGATGTAATGTCAGGTTTAATAAAAAATATGAACACGAATAATATAAATAGTTTTTTTTTTAATACATACGCTTACCTTGGCCTGCAGTTATTATGTATGCACACATGCTTATACTACATGCATTAAAAGATAGAAATAAAAATTAGATAAACCTAATTGTCTATGTAATTTTATTTTGAAGAGTTTTTATAGCTGTTTTTTTCATACACTTTATCGCCCTTATCAAAAAGTAAATATCTGATATTAAAAATATATGACTAGTTATTATTTTTTCATGTCGATGACGATAATGAATGCTAATAAAATACACAGATTTACATATATATGTACATATACATAAGTATAACAATAGGAGAAGATGATAGAACAAATTTTACCAATATATGCTTTTATTTTAGTAAAATATTTGGGATTTTCGCACATTGTATGGCGTCAAAATGTGAAGATACAAGTGAATATTACTGCATATATGAGTTTTAAAAATCAATCAAGTCGGTTCAAATCCCGTTGAACTCAAGAAGAAGTTTGATAAGAAGTAGTGACGATTTCCGGAATAGCAACTGTAATTTCTAAACACATCCTGCTCTAAAAAAAATCTTGGTTTTGAAGAAAACTTTAACTAGAACTTCTGACAGTATTAATAAAGAAAAGAAAGAAGTGCATAAAAAGACTTTTTTAAGCTTAAATTATTCTACAGATTTTTTGTTTTCGAATCGGGATGCAGATTTTTGAAATGAAATCAGTAAACAGTAAACAGTAAACAGTACTGCACCGNCGAATCGGGATGCAGATTTTTGAAATGAAATCAGTAAACAGTAAACAGTACTGCACCTTTGTACTGCATTTGTTTTAAATGTACATCTTCTACGAATAAATTGGAGCAGGTGGTTTAAAGTTAAAGAGAGTTAAGATCTTTGTCTCTCAACATATCGCTAAAGTCTCATACCAAAACATCACCATACCAAATGATTGCAAGGGCGGGTCAGAACCACAAAAAGTGTTCCGTTTTTTCATCCTCTTCAAGGCAGAAAAGGCAAGCGGGGTTGTCATGTATGCCGATCACCATCAAGTGTTTGGGCCACGAAAGGTAAGCAATCAATGACTCCACAAGTTATTCGAAGTCCCATCTGCTCAATGAAAACAAATATGTAGTAATTATGCAGCTAGAACTGCTGTGATTTGATTATCGAAGGTGAGAGTTCTATAACTGGGTTCAGATCAAGAAATATCATTATCAATCCGTCAGCTTTGTTGTTTTTCAGCTGCGATATTGCTTTTCATACCTTGCCCTGATTCCGGCGCTGGGGAATCGATTCCGTCGTTGTCCACCGGAGGCTTTGGTTCATTTTCTCCATTACTTTTAGTGTGCCACCATTCAATAAGGTTGAGATGCGTTCACTCTATAATTTAAGTGTGTTCTGGACATCACTCACTAGGTCGTGTTGGTTGTTCTTACAAAAATTCGTAATGGTATTGAAACTTTCCGTAGGGGCCTAATACAATTTTTGCTATCTGTCAGCATTTTAGGCTCCTCGGACACACTTATTTAGACGCCTCTCCTATTATCACTGAAACTACTTACGTCTCACTTCTTTTTTCACCACCCTGTATCGTTCCCACTTACATACGTAGCTTGCGATGCAGCCGTTTCGGAAGTAGTTGAATGAAGAAAAATAAATAAAATTTATTCTTCATGTTGAGTTAATTGAATGATGAATACAAATTTATTGGTTATTTAAAGTCTCTCGATGATGAATGAAAATTTATTCGTTATTCGAAATTACTTGAATGAAGAGTAAAAATGTATAGTTCATTTCCACCAAGCCTTAATTGCAGTTTATGCCTATTGCAAAAATGAGATTACAACTCGAAGAGGGTAATCGCTCACATTAAGTACAAGCAATCGAAAACAAAAAGTACAAAATAAACTTTGGTGATCATCCCATGTTAACGTTCTTGGAACTTACCTGAGCTCTTAACGGCAGTTTAGCCCTGGTGGAAATGGGATATTATCCTTCATTGAAAATTACTTGAATGATGAGTAAACATTTAATCGATATTTGAAATTTCTAAATGATGAATTGAAATAATTATGAATAATAGAACAATTTTGAATAAAATTTTATTTTTATTTGAACAATAATACATTCAGAAATGGCCATCCCTGCATGGTACACATAAAAATTTCTTGAAGTTTTTTATTACATATATCGAATGGTTGTATGCCAATCTATGTATGTACATATGTATTATCCATAAGCCTAGAATAACAACTTTTGGGTTTTGAAGCGTGTAGTTATGTAAATATATACCTCATATCTGTTATTAGATATGAAGTATTATGCAATTACACCTTTTCTTCCTAATGCAAAAAAAAGTTCCACTGCACACAGTACGACTGTCTGTAATCGCGCTATGCGAAAGCGTGTCTGATGTCGCATTCACTTCCACTTAATTACTTAACAATTTGTTGGGGTTCAAATGGAGTTTGTAGTATTATTGTATTGTTATTTCTAAAATGAAACGATAAGTTAACTTTGTGCAAACTAAAAGCACGAAACGAATATGCTGTGTTCATAGCAACTAGCTAATTATAGCAACAAAGCGAATGCTGCAATATACCAGAAAACCGGCTGCTAAGCACGTTTTTTTTTAGTAAAAAAATGTTTTTCTCTTGCACAACCATTTGCGATTGGAGCGCAAGTATGGACGCAGCATGGGAGTGCCAACAATTGCTGTTATTTATTATGTGCGTTGGCAACATGTTTCCCCACACTTCAGCCTAATGCTAGCCATTTTCTAGGCAATCACAATTTTTTTTTTCAAGCTGAACTATGCTTATATTGACATTTACAACTAATTAAGATGCTTACTAATAAAATATTGTATTTTCTTCTTTTTTTTTTGTTTACTTGCAGAGGAAGCTAAAGCTGCTGCTGAGGAGGTGAGCCAATCGCCAGTCATCGGCAAGCGCAATGATCCTGCTGCGAGTCCGATTCAGTCACGTGGCAGTGCCACCAGCGAAACATGGCCAACTCAATCGGATGATGATATTGATCGTTTAGTGGCGATGCACCAGAATCGTGATAGCCTCAGTTCGTTGGGGGTAAGTTGATAAAATTAAATTTTATATTAGAAATATAACATCCAAATTCATAAAAAATAAAGAAGACTTCAACTGTGCATATGTACACTCGCCATATGACTTTTTAAATGCATGTCTATGCGAAGAGGATGAGGAATGATTAAAAACCTTTATATGTAAATCACGTTTTTGTCACAATTTGGTTTAAAAAGCTCCCGCTATTGATAATAATAGGCCTTGAGAAATTACTACCAGAGAGAGTTGTTAACATGTGTGGGTCTAAATCAGTGACAACCAAAAAACATTTATACTCAGTACGCGTCCATATACATATCTGTGGTCATAAGCAATAACCGCCTAAGTCGACTTAAGAAAGAATTGAGTTATATATGATATCGTATTCTGCAACTACCATTCCATGTGTATGTGAAATCCCCATCTCGTCAGCTAGGCTATTTAAAAAGTTATAGGCGAACATATTTTGGTTTCCGCATAAGGTAAACATTACAATCCAAATGTTTAAAACGTTTTTTTCTCGAATTCAGGTTTTTCTACTTAGGCGGTTATTGCTTATGAACAAAGAAAAGAAATATGTTTCGATCGTGATGACTGGTCTATCCCGCAGAAGAACCTTTGAACAGACATTATTTTGAACCACACAGTGTAAAGTCTTTATTTGGTTATCACTGGTCAAAATAACTCCAGCGAAAAAAACTTTTTTAAGCTCTCTGTAGCTTTTATATATGGAGCGCTCAGATTAAAAGCTATCTCTAGTGATCACTAGTCTAAATAAAATGCAATGAAAGCCCAAAAAATGCAATACCCGCGAGATACCTTTTGCTTTAAACCGTGACACTCAGAGAGAGCTTTTACTCTTTGTATGACCTTAGAAAACGGCGATAGGCCTGTTACTGGGTTTAAATCAGCGACGGGCAGAGAGAGCTTTTACTCTGCACGCATCTATACAAAATACATAGAAAGCTTAAAAGTGCTTTGCCCGCGGGCAAGGCGGTGCTCATCTACGTTTTAAATCAACGATGACCAAAAGAGAAAGCTTTTTAAAGACTTCGATAGAATTTATATAAACCCACATAAAGCATAAGCTCTCACTGATCATCACCGCTGTATGCAAGTTTTATCGAAAGGGGAAAAATTGGAGAAATTCCTCATACCAAAAAACTCCCTAAAGCATGTTTACGGTTCTTTACGGCACTACAGCAAATCGCTAAGAAACCTATTTTCGAAATTTGACAAACTCAAATAGTGTTTAGAAACATGGTTTCTTAGACAAATTCTCTAGAATTTATTAGAATTGATTTCCCAAAATTTTCATTTTTACACATTCATGTTTCTGGCATACAGGCGACGATATGTACATATATGAATGTAAATATGTATTAGAGGGCTGCATGAACTCATTCAAAGTTCTAGTCAAACAGAGTAGAGTAGATTTGAATATTTTACTTCACATACAAAACACTCAGCGTTTGGAAATTTTGTAAGTTGTGAATATACATCCCGCTTTAAATTTTCCACCTTCAAATGGAAGAATGTGAATGAATGAATGAAAAACATTCAAAATTATTCAAACTCATTTCGGTTAAAGTTTTTTTCTACAAACAAATTTGTTCATATTGTAATAGGTGTGCAGCAATACATACCCTGCAAACCAAAGTTCCCGAAATCCTAACGAAATCTTTAGGATTATCTCATTTCAGTAACGATTTTTTTACGAATTCTCAAAGAAAATTATTTGAAGTAGTTGTCACGAACTCGTAAAGAAATTTACGCAGCATTATTTTCATTGCTTTACCGATTTTCTTCCGAAATTTCGCAAAAGAACCGAAATGTGCATAGTTTATTCCATTTTAGAAAATTCGGCAATAAATCGGATGAGATCTTTACGAATTCCTTAAAATTTCTCTACAATTCAGAATACTCTGAACAAATGGTTTGCAATGTTTGTACATATGTACATACAAAAAATATTTTTGGATGTTCATACAAAAAATTGTTCGCCTATAAAATTTATTCCAATTCAATTAATTTTCCCTTTTTTTGAATATTGTAATGTCGCCACATATCTCAGAACAGTATTTACTCAAATTCAAAAAAATTTTAAGTCAAAATCATTCATTCGTTTTGTATACAAATAATTCACTAACCGTTTTGAATGAAATCATGCAGCCCTCTAGTATGTTTGTAATTTGGTTATACCGAAATAGAACTATGATTTATTTTCGGTGCCTATAAAAGACAATGGGCATATAAGGTTCAATGCATTTTATTTCTAGTCACATTTTCTACATCCATTTTCCACTCTTACCCATGTAACCCTTTGGAATGTCAATATTGCGCATTGATTATTTACTAATAGACGATTAATAAGTCTTCAGCAAGTAAGCGCATAATAAACAAAACTATTTATTGCTAAAATAGCAAACATTCACAATCGCTGATGCATTGCTGTAGCGAAAGAGGAAGTGAGCACAAAATCATGAATTACAGATGCAACTGCACATTCGCATGCTATGTTTTAATATACATACATACATACAAACATACAAACCTACATACATACATATGTACATATATATACTTATTTACATACATACTCAAGAACAAGGAACAAAGAACTACTCTTTGTAAATCTTTGTTATGCATTTAGTAAAACTTTTAATGTTTTTTAGTGAGCAGAAAACAGCTGCTTACTGTATAGTTTGGAAAATTTTCTTAAAGCGCGAACTAAAATTGTCTCGAAATTCTTTTAAAACAACTCCTAAGAAATAATTTACTTAAACCACATTTTTATTAAAGAAAAATAAACAACAACTGCTTTATTCCTTTACTCATTTTAGCTGCGCTCGGATTCTATGGCCAGCGTTTACTCCGGTGCCGGTGAAGGACGCTATGGCACCGTGGTGGTGAAAGGTCAGGTCGAATTCGGTATACAGTATAACTATAAGCTCGGCGCTCTGGAGATACACGTGGTGCGCTGCAAGGATCTCGCAGCGGTCGATGTGAAACGTAATCGCAGCGATCCCTATGTCAAGGTGAGTACCGCTCGAAAACAAAATTTAGGTGAATTTGCTCACCACTCATACAAACTTCCTTCTGTGTCAACACAGGTATACCTGCTGCCCGACAAATCCAAAGCTGGCAAACGTAAAACCAAAGTCAAGAAGCATACACTTAATCCAATCTTCGATGAGATACTGCGTTTCCACATGGCCATCTCGAGTTTAGAATCGCGCACACTATGGCTCACCGTTTGGCATTCGGATATGTTTGGCCGCAATGATTTCTTGGGTGAAGTCAGCGTCAGTTTGCAAGGCAAGGTGTTCGACAATCCGCAATCGCAATGGTATTTGCTGCAGGAGCGTGTAAGCAGCATGATCATATATATATATTTTAGTTGTGCGTAAGTAATTTATGTGATGACATTTCATTTTTGTTGCATTGCAGAGTGAACCCTTCGATGAGGTGGCCACCTATCGGGGTGACATTGTCGTTGGTCTGAAGTATGTACCACCGGAGAATGTACGGCCGGGTTTTATGCGTAGCGCATCCACCAGCAGTGGCGGTTCAAATTTGCGCAAATTTGGTAGCATCAAATCGGTAGCTTCACGTACCGATCGCTCAGCGAAAGGCGGTCAACTACATGTGCTTGTCAAAGAGGCGAAACACCTGAGTCCGATCAAAGTGAATGGCACCTGTGATGCGTTCTGTAAAAGGTATGGTTCTATCTAAGGACATATTTTGGAAAAAAGTTGGTTTTTCGTCCGAATAACCCTGACATGCTTACTTACATAAACGACTAACATTACCGATATCTGATAGAATTTAATAAAGGTTGCTTTTCTTCCATACAGTTACTTGCTGCCAGATCGTACACGTAGCTCCAAACAAAAGACGCCAGTTGTGAAACGTTCATTACATCCCACTTGGAATTACACTTTCATCTATGAGGACGTATCGCTGGACGATTTGTCCGAACGTGCATTGGAATTAACAGTATGGGATCACGATCGTTTAGCGAGTAATGAATTCCTTGGCGGCGTACGCTTTTCGCTAGGTACAGGTAAGCATATTTAAATTATATAAATAACTACAAACTTACAAATCAAACATGATTTTATCGAATTAGCAAACAACTTTCAAAAGTCATACTAGTCACCAAGAAGTTGTTGTTTTGCCTCTAACAGCGTGAAGACACACCTACATATGTATATTGCTCAGTAGGTTATTCGACATTGTCTATAAATTTATAATTTGATCGATTTTGGCGAAATTAGCGCCTTCATATTTTGAACATAAGAATAAGATCGCCCTATCTCAGATGCCGATGCTCATCGTTCCATAGTTCGCAGTACTCGCAGTCGCCAGGGCGTAAAGGCCCGTAAATCTTCCGGAAAATCTTTCTCTCGAATTCCTCAAGAGCCGCCTCATCGGTTGTTGTCATGGTTCATGCTTCTGCGCCATATACCAGCACGGGCATGATGAGTGATTTATAGAGAGTGGTTTTCGTACGTCGAGAGAGGGCATTACTCCCGAATTGCCTACTCAGTCCAAAGTAGCACTTGTTGGGAAGAGCTGCTGATACATTGAATTTGTATTGAGATATGGCGATCATCCACTCAGCCGTCGATATGCAGTTGTAGGTCTTTTTAATTATTATACAATTTATTTTTGTCTTTAAAAATATCATAAAACTACTTCCTTATCTTTGCTTGGTAATCCAAAATTGGGGGTTATTGGTTAAAGATCGTGAATCTTGACCAGACAAGTTGGGAGAGAGGAATCTTCCAGCAGGTCCATCAAGCAAGCAATGATGATGAGGACCTTTGCTACACCACTTATTTAATTAAGCAAGACCTGACTCACAGAAAAGTTTTAAACGTCGAAACGAAAGTCAACCGATATTAATTGTTGTTCAAAATTGCTGTCTGGTGAACTTGTATGTGTTGTATGAATGAGTTGAAAAATGGCATCTATTCAAGATCTCCAATCCAATTGTATAATCGTTTCTTTTTATTGCTAATGCTTCCGACATACCTTGTCAATTTTAGATTGGAGTTGCTTCGGAAACTTCTCTGCCTAATCAAATAACCGCTATCGCTGGAGTTATAAAACGGTAATTGACAGACAGAACTCAGTAAGCTGAGATACCACAAGGAATCGTGCCTGCGAAGTAGATGCACTGGAACCCTTTCATTATTTTCTTGGCACTTTAGCAGCTACATATATAAATTTCTTATACCCGGATGGACTTGTGTAAATGTTCAGAATCTATGTAATGTCTGAATTTACATTTTGGTTGATGATTTTCCGCGAGGGTCTCGACCTTGTGCGGTCTTCAGTATCATTTTTCAATCTGAATAGTCTCGTGTTGGTCAATCAATATTTATAGTCGCGTTAATGCTCTTTGTTTTGTGAGATACGTGGCCCAGCGGATTCCATTTTTTAGTCCAACCGGTGGTTATTATTGTACAGTATGCATTCTTAGGTAGGTAGAAATCAGCTCCTAACATCTCCTTGATTACTACGGCCTGGTTCCTTTACTTATTGCACTTGTAGGGCGTCTTTCCTGTTTTACGTATGTTGGAAATAGCAAAAATATGGTTCCTTATAATCTAAACGCAATGTGTGTGAAAGAGGAACAATTTTTGTTGAATATCTTAGGCTCGCTCAAGACCATCAAAGTTCAATGTGCTCAAAAAATAAAAATTAATACATACATTAATTAATACATTTTTTCAATAAAATTGCAAGTATCTTTGAAAGTATTAGTCCTACATAATTTGGTATATGGACCTTTTTTGTGGAGAATTGAAGTAAGCTAAGAAATAATTTTTTTAGCACTTGAACTTTGATAGACCTAAGATATTGACCAAAAATTTTCCTCTTTCACATAGATTGTGTTTAGAGCATATTGAATCATATTTTTGCTATTACTAATCAAAATTCTAAAAAAGCGGATTTTCGGCCCACGCTACTGTGTATTAATTATGTAACTACACTGACATTCGGAAGTCCACTTATATATACCTTGATGGTCTAGTTGGAACTCAGCAGTGCCTGCATTCCATTTTCCTTTCTTCAACTTTGCCTGCAAAATGCGACCAGATTGGGCTTCAGTGTGGCATCTGAAAGCGAAAGTCTTCTGTTAAACAAAAAAATCCCAAAAACTCAACTCAAATTTTTACTTTTTTACACAAATTGCACTAAAGTATGTAAAACACTGAGAATTCAATGAAATAAAATGTATTTTTAGCGTGAATTCCGATCAGTTGTTTCTTTATGCCCTTACAACGAAAAACGAGATTTCATATGTATTAAAATTACATTTCCTTTTTTATTGGAGTGTTGACGCACAAAAGTTTAGTTCACCAATAATGAACGAACTAATGAACTGGTTCAATTAAAGAGCTAGCTCATTCGCTCTTTAGTTCAAAAGCTCCACTAGCCTAGTTCCAAATATTATGTATTATCGTGTCTTTGATTATAGGCTTCCTATATACATACATATATTTTATATTTTTGCGTTGACCGATGTGATAGTCCAGAATTTGTTCTTCCTTGTGTCCTGAAGAGGACATATATGTCATCGCCACATCTCGCATAAAACCTTACGCATAGGTTGGTTGTCAGCTCCATCATATATTTGTCTTCCAATTACATAGATGTCCGAGTTAGTTTTTTTGATCCTTTGAATTATAAAAATCTTTTGTATTATTAAATAAAACCATATATGTATGCATGTACTAACAAAACCCAATTTTCTTCGAAATAATTTTTTCAGGCAAAAGCTATGGTCGTCCTGCCGAATGGATGGATGCAACTGGAAAAGAGCTCTCCTTGTGGCAGAACATGATTGATCGCCCCAATTTCTGGGTCGAAGGCAGTTTAATTTTAAGATCAACTTTAGATGGTATACGTGCAATACCATAAATTAACTATATAGAAGTACACACATATACACATATGTACATACCGACATATGTACAAACGAGTATGCATGTAAATGATCTTTTGTACAATTTATAGCTGCGCGATTATAGCAAACTAGAAAAGGAAATACACATCTATGCAATGTAGCTTAAAGTTATGCGAGCATTAAATTTGTTTACATAAACTACAGATTTGTATGGAACTTGCAGTTCATAATGAATTTAATTGCTTAGTTTTTACTAACTATATTCGTTTGCAACTGAAAAAGCATTATAGCATTTAGAGAGAATAAAAGAAAATAAAATATGAAAGATATCTATACACTCGTTTGAGTTAAAAAAAAAATGTAAAAAACAATTACGCAAACTGCAACACTGCAGCAATTGAGAATTGGCATACATAAATTTATATGTATGTATAAACAAATGTAGAAATTTAGCAAAAAGAAAAAAGAAAAGTTATAAAAAACTAGAAACAAATTGTAAGAATATTGAAAAGTAAAAAATAAAGACATTCATACAAACAAGTTTGAAAACGAATGAGAAACTAACGGATTTTGGGAACGATTTTGAATACTCGAATAAAGTAAAAAAAAATATTGATTTTAAACTAAACTATGTTGTAGGTATACATATTTTTATTAGCGTTGGAAATTAGGAAAAGTGATGTAGCAACAGAGGTGAAACAATTATTATTTTTTAATCATTGATAGATGCTTAAAGCATGCAATTATATGTGCATATCACAGTAGCTTAAAGTGAAAAGTCCACTTCTTTGAAAACTCATATTTTGACAAAAGAGGCAAAAGAAAGTAAAAATGCATTGTTTTCAAACACGATTTATTTCTTCACTTTGACATTCAATGAATTACAAATTTGCTTGGTCCAGAAGAGGAAGGCACAGAAAATTCCATAAGGCCAATATAGTGCGAAGTCTTTAACATCAAGTCCTTTTGATTCGAATGCCATTTTTCTTCGCTTTAAATATGCCAAATCCTGTATTTAATGGTTTGCAAAACACTTGAAGAAAATTGCTTTAAAAAGTTCTTCCCCTCTCCTCTAAAATATGAAAAAAATTTAACGAGCAACTTTTCACTCTAGGCTAGCGATTTGTATTTTTTGTATTGAATTAATTTGGAATTAGCTAATGAAAGCCCAAAATCTAGGGATCACTTCATGAAGCATGGAATAGAAGCTCACATGCAAATACAGTAAATGCACAAACAAGAAAGTAAAACAAAATAGCTGCAATATCGACGTGAAATCGAGAATGATTTAAAATAAAGTAACACTTATTTCCGTTTTATAACATTTATCAAGAAAAAAAAACCGTAATTGGAATATATTATATCGCAACGTATTAACCAAGCGGAACCATTGTAAACAAGAAATGCATATATGCACATGCATATAGTACTTACGAGTACATGCTTTTGTTTATATAGTACATACATTGCATTAGGCAACCTAATTTTGCTCATATCAAAAATAAATAAAATAAAATCCTATCAAATTCCAAATTTTTCTGAAAGCACTTAAGAGCGCAAATTTTTTTTTAACTCGGTAAGTGCATACAAAGTTATACATACATATGTACGTGATAATGGCATAAATACGTTGGCGGCTTTGAAATGCACCACATTGTGTGACTGCATATTTCGAGCTACATATATACATAAATACATACATAAACATAATTAATTCATTTATCGCACAATAATCAATTAAAATTATGCCTGCATTCTCTTTTGTGTTTTGCGCATAATATGTACATAAATGGATTGTATTATGTTATAAGAAACAATATAAACGAAAGGCGTTACATCACTTTAACAGATTGATAATGGCCTGCAGCGTGGCAGAGAGAACGAGATAACGAATAAAAGCGAAAGTTGAATGAATACATACATATTTATACTAATTAATTAATTAATTGATAGCATTAAATACGATATTGAATAATACTTATGCGATTTATGCATATAGTACATATACATAAACATATGTATGTATGTGCACTACATATACTATTCATACATACATACCACATATTTACTTTTATGAGAGAGAAATAAATAATCTTATACATAGTCTACACTTCAAAAATGATATACATACAAATATATGTATAAATACATAACTACAATAAAACTATGCGATAAACTAAAATTTTTGGTTTGTTATTTTATTTTCAACTGCGTTTTATTATTTTTTTTTATTAATTTTAAGTCAATTTCGTTTATATCCCAAAGAGTTCTATCCGGATTTTTTTTTAATATCCGCGTAATAGAGTAAACGGATATCCGTATAAGAAAAACTGACAATTTTTACGCAAATATCCGGATTATATCGAATGCGAATATGTGGATAGACCCAGCCCTAGTGTACTCCCATAGATTGTAAAACGCATTTGAAACTTTTAAAGTCTCGAACACTTCATGGAGCTTTCCAATTCGTCGCGTTTAAAACAGAGATGTAAAACTAAATCCTGAAATTGAACTTAATTCCAGGAAACAATTTTACCTAAAAGCTGACGCATGTACCAAAAAATAGTGTATGTACACTTCATTACACATTTCACATTGGATCAAATCTGTTAAACATTACGAAAATACGACGAGAATCTTCCATGCCTCATTTTTTGATTCACTAATAGAGTTGCAAAACTATCGATAGTCACAATATTCGATATCTTCGATAGTTTAGGGAAAACTATCGATAGAATCGTTTAGAGCTAAAAAAAAAACTATCGATAGGCAAATAAAAATAAACTATCTATAATATTGTATAAATTTACTAGATACATACATATGCTTTAGGTTTTTAAATCTGTTGTATAAGAGACATTCTTTTCGGATTTCGTTAAAAAAATGATGTCATGTCTCCGCCACGCTTCAAATTTTTTATGCAGCGGCCACTTCTAGAAGATTCTTTGATTAAAAAAGCTGCGGTACAAATGCTGTCAACGAAGGGATATTCTGCCCAAATCCGAAATAAAATTTAGGTTTTGTTAAGTCTAGTCGTAAAATTGCCACGCCCCTTTCTAGAGGTTTTTCGACTTAAATAAATATTTTTACTGGATAGTTACTCTATCGGAATCCAGAACAAAGTTTAAAAATTTGCGAAAAACTTTTTCTTTCCCCATATAGTATGAACATAAAATACATGGAAAACTTTGAGCGCTTTGAGCGACCTCTAAATATTTTTTTGTTTCAAAATAACAAAAAAACAGGGATTATAATTTTTTCGATATAAAACAATGATAAGGGGTGAGGGTATTAACATTCCGACTTTACTTTTTTTTTTACCACCCTAATGTGCATACATAAGGGGTGAGGGTATTAACATTCCGACTTTACTTTTTTTTTTTTTTTACCACCCTAATGTACATACATATTTGATAAATTTTTAGCATTTCTTACAGGAGCCAATTTCCCTCAACAAATTGTTGGAATGGAACTTTCTAGATAATAGGCATCGGTAGTGATGTGAAATTGCAAACTGTCGTTACTATCGATAGTGCCATCGAAAGTTTTGCAGCTCTATTCTATAATACTAATAATCTGTTCAAACTGGAAGAACTTTTCGATGCCAAACAAAGTTTTGGGCAAGGCGAATCATTATATTCTCTCAAACCCTGTTCACATGCAGCAACAACTTTCCATCACTCACTAGGAGCTCCTTTGACTATGCTTCTGACACAATAATTGCGGTATGTTTTTGGTCTGAAACAAACACAAAGAAAAATCTCTTACTAACACAACTATATACCATACATGTACACAAGTCCTTAACCGGGTTCAGACGGTCTGAAAAGTCTGTTGTATTTTTGCGAGCTTGTCTGCTCAGACCATCTAAAAAGGCAAGTGTGCAGGCTCATTGGTTCCATTTGGAAATATTTTTATTTCACATTTAAGTCAATTACATTTGAAACTTTGGAACCTTAACTCAACCTTAAGAAAAAAGAGGGCACTGTTGACAGCATTACTTCGAAACTATAAATGACTTTTTTACTTAGGAGCCAGTATACTGTCTTTCAGAGATCGAACGAAGCAGAATTCTTGCTAGTAGTTGCTTAGTTAGGCTTGGCAATGCGTTCTGAACGAACAGAAATCAACCTTAAAAAATCTCTGATTATTCTTGTCGGCTCATATGACTTAGTAACGTAGGCGATGCCTGATTTAGAAGAGATGTGTTCAAATTCATTCGAGCAGACAAATATTTATGTACAAAGTTCGTGGCCACTGGGTTTATTCTTTCCAGGCTCCGATGGATGCCTCGCCACTAGGTTGGTATAACTACAAGGAGGAAAAAATTCCGGGAAAATTTATTCGGCTAAGATGAAAATGTACGGAAAATGCTATATATATGCACCGAAAGTACTTTCAAATTATAGAAGGGCTGAAAAAAGTAAAATTGTAACTATTTTTGCTTTCATTGCTTTAAAGGAGTCGCCTAGATATTTTTTAATTGTTCTTATATATTTAAGTAGTTTACACGAAAACTAATATGAAGAAGAGCCTGAATATTTTTATTTATTCCAGGGGTTCTTAACTGCTGTTTTAGTCGCGTCTCCAAATATTTATTGATTTCAAAATAAAAAAAATGCGGGTATAATTTTTTTTCGATATAGAACAATCCTAGCGAGTGAGAGCATTACAATTCCGACTTTACTGTTTTTGGACCACCCTAGTGCGCAACCAGGGTTAGATGCTAGTTTTCAACTAGGTTGCGTAAGGTAGACTTTTTCTTCTAGTGCGGTTTAGAAATAAAAGAGGCTGATGCTTTGTATTGTGATGTTTTGGAATGCAGTCTATATTTAAAATTATTCCAACACCCTGAGATTCTCAATACCTCGAAATTTTCTACCCTATTATTTAATTAAATTTTATTTTGTTTTATTTCATAAATGACATAAATTAAATAAATTAAAAAAAAAAAAACGTTATTCATTATCCCTACTTCAGTACTTGGTAATCTAAAGCTAAATGACTAAAAACCACTAATCAGCCATAGGTTTTCTGGGAAGTTTATGTTGCTGATTTGTCATTTTCCATGCTGCTCCCTTTTCAAGAGCTTCGAAGATTTTTGAACCTCAGTTCATCTTATTTAATTTCTCTAGGCCCCCCGACAGGCAAATTATACCGATTTTGAAGTTAAACTTCGAAGTTTCATTCGACATTTCTGCTAGTTATTATTTATTTTTTGATCTATACATATAATTAAATTGTAACAGGCCGATGTCTGTACATTATAGATATCAAAGAAAAATTAACATTGTTTATTAGAGCAACAGAAGTCAGAATTTTCCGTCTGTCTGTATGTATGTTTGTACGAAACTAGTTCACAGAATTGATTGAAGGTTGAAGGAATTTTTTGAAGGTTGCCACCGGTTTGAAAACTTTAATTCAATTTAATTAAAAGATAAGATAAATTGAATATTGCAATATGGGTATCAAACTTAAGAGGTTTAGGAAAGTTTACGGCCGAAAATATTTTTGAGGAGGATTGCCAGCTGTTTGAAAATTTTTTTTTAATTAATTTGCTAAAATAATTGAAATATTACCATACGGGTGGGTATCAAACAGCACAAAAATACATTTTAGGTAGTGAAGCACGCCGGGGGCTAGTTTCTGAATAAAAACCCTTAACGCAGTTTCGAAGTTTGGTTTTAAATCTTTATAAATTGGCTCCCGTTCGTTCGAACGAAAAATGACACTGAAGATGGCACAACGCCGAAACCGGTTTGTCTCCAAACCAAATTTGACAAGGGATGACGGAAAATCGTTCCACAATACAGCTACAAAGAACTTAGAAATTGTATAAGTTCCGGTGGCCAGAGTCAAATGTCCCTCCAATGGAAAGACGCATATTTGATTTTATTTTGTTAAAGTTGTCAATTTAATTATGAAGGGATTTACTCTTATTAATGTGCGTTTAAATTACAATCATACATTTTCGAGAATATTTTTTTCATATTGAAATTATTTCGAAATTTTTTTTAGTGTATGAAACTTATACACAGTAATTAAAACTCAAAATAAATTTATGTAGTTAAGAGTGTAGGCAACTTTTCTCTATCGCCATTTAGCGTACAATAAATACATATGTAGTTAAATTGAAAATAGCTAAACTGTTGTTGGTGAAACCGAAAATTTCTTACATTTAGCATTGATATAAAGTTAAATAAGTAATTCGAAAATATTATCAAGTATAAACATACATATTTACTTGCTACGTTGCAGCATTTGTTCATATTCATGTTTTCTTAGCAATCCAGTTTCAAAATAAATTGGAAATCAAACGAATATATTTGTTGAGTTGCGTTCTTAAACAGTTCTTAAAGTTGTTTAATAAAAATAGAAAAAATAATGTTTATGGATTGCATAAATATTAATAATATGTACAATAAATATTATTAAACAATTTAATTAACAATGCATAAATACATACATATACATACATATGTGTAGAATGAAGTAT